CAGTTATGTAGATCAACTGAATAGAATTTGAGAGTCCAGAAATAAATCCTTATATTTAAGGTCAAATAATTTTTAAGAAGAGTGCCAAAACAGTTTAATAGAGAAAGAGCAGTCCTTTCAACAAATGGTGCTGGAGCAACTGGATCATCACATGCAAAAAAATTAAGTGGGACTGCTACCTCAGACCATATATAAAAATTAACTCAGAATGGATGGATCAAAGACCCAAATATATGAGCTCAAACTATAAAACTTTTAGAAGAAAGCATAGGAGCACGTCTTCATAACCTTGAATTAGGTAATGGTTTCTTAAATATGACACCAAAAGCACAAGCAACAAAAAATAAAGTGGACTTCATCAAAATTAAAAAAAATCTTGTGCTTCAAAGGACAAGGTTGTCTTTTCACAAATGAAACTGAAAAGACAACCTACAGAATTATAGAAAATATTTACAAATCAAGTATCTGTTAAGGGACTAGAATATAAAAAAATATAAAAAATATAGAATATAAAATCTAGAATACCTAGAATATATAAAAAAAAACTTACAACTAAATAATAAAAAGACAACCCAATTTAAAAATGGGAAAAAGATCTGAATATAAATTTCTTCAAAAGAAACATACAAATGGTCAAACACTGAAGTAAATAAGGATGCAGATCTCCTTTTTGTATTCTACAACAAAATCATAAAGTAAAAAAAAGTTTCTGGGCTTGCTAGAGCCACAGGCAAAAAACGGTATTAGTTCCAATTAACAGAAGTCATGGAATACAGATATGAAGAGTCTGCCTAAGCAAAGATGACTATCACTATTCAATTTTCCACTATTTATTGAGCACCTACTATGTGCATGAAGCTGTCTCCTTTGGGGAAATATAATTAAAGAAACAATCTCCCAACCCAGAAATCCTCTCCACAGAGGTAGTAAAGAAAGAACTTTAAAAAAAATTTTTTTTTTGGTCTGTTTTGTTTTTATTGGTCTTGCTATGTTGCCCAGGCTAGTCTCTGAATGGGCCTCAAACAATCCTCCTGCCTCAGCCTCCTGAGTGAGCAGCTGGGGTTACTAGCATGCACCACTGTGCCCCACAACACTTTTTAATTGAATAAGCATTAAACTAGAATGTGATGACATCACAGGCAATCCATTAAGAGACTGCAAAGGCAGAAATCTCACTCTTTTGTAGAGCCAAGCAGATAGAAACTATTACACACACGCTTTCAAGATAAAACAATAACTAGTTCTAAAGTAACAGAACCTGTCAGTTCTATTTATCATACATAGTTCATTCTCCCCTTATCTGGTAACTGCGGTGATTCTCAGTTCCAAAGGACAAATAAACTTCTTATATATTTGTGACAGTACATAGTTTTGCAACTTGGAGGAAGGGGCCCACTGGAATTAGGCTCTTAGCCTCCTACCCAAACTGGGAGACAGCAGCACTATCTACCTTCATATTTCATTTCAAAGAAATGGCTCCCAAGTCCTACGGAAAGGCATTTCTAGGTCTTTAAGGGGACAAAAAGGCCTAGCTAGTCTTCAAAAGGATTTATACACATTTCAAAGAGGAGAAAGTACTTAACAGTTATTACCAGTTTTCTAAAGTATTCAAAGAAAAAGGAAGGGGAAAAAAACTCTTATATTCAACAGAAAGAATTAAACATCTCATTTTTAATTTGTATTTGTCCGTACACTCCCCAAACATTACCAATACAACCTATTTATAAGACAAGGCTAAGTTTACTGCTAGCTGCACTAAGGGACAACAGGACCTAGCAAAGTTTTGGCAGTGGCCTGGAGCAGAAAGGCAAGGTCAGCTTTACTGAGAACTGCAAGGGTGATTTAAGGCAGGTCTTTCAAGGCGCGGTTTTAGTTAACATTGAGTAAGGATTGGTGGAGATAGCAAGACTCCGCTCCGAAGGATTAAAGGAACTTTAGGGCTTACGCTGTGTTTTCCACTCAAGAGTGGATGTATCTCTGGGGAAGTTCCCTAACGAACAAACCATCCTCCTGGGCTGCAGAATCCTGGAAAGATGAAGTCCTCAATAAAGACAGCCAAGCGCGGTTCCGGCCCCCAGCGCGCCAGATCCCGCAGCGGAGCCGGGACACTGCGGTGAGCAGAAACGCCGCGGTGCCACGCCCGGCCAGTTCTCCGCAGCAGCCGTCAGAGACCAGTCGCCGCGGAGCCTGTGCCTCGCCCGAGCCCGCCGGCGCCGCGCCTGCCTTTCCACGACGGTCCTCCGTGTGGCCGCAGCGCCCTATGGCTGCGGCTCGGCCTTGTAAACTCGCGCAGCCCCTAGCAGGAAACCAGCCACACGTAGCACCCCAGCTTCCGGCCAGGAAGCTGCCGGGAACTGGGGGCCAAGAGCCAGGAAGGGACAGAAAAGCGACCACGCGTCTCAGACGCTCACGTGACCTTCTAGGACAGGTCCTGCCCCCACCGTAGCGTGCCGCAGCGCAGTTGTCGTTGGCTTCTGCGCAAGCGCACGCCTTGCCTCGCGACGGGTGACGCAATCCAGCCAGACCTGTAGGTTCCGCAGCTCCAGCGTACGTCAGATCACGTAACTCTGCCCGAACAGACTCTGCAGCCTGACGTGCGCGCGCAGGCCCTCTCCTGCCCCGCGAGGGGCGGGGCTGGGCGGGGGAAGGGCGGGGCCTGAGGTGGCCAATCGGCGGCGCCCGCGCCGGGTGCCGTGTCCCGCCCAGCCGGGCTGGCCGTTCCTACCAGCCTGGTCCAGCGGACATCGGCGGCGGCGGTGACGCCGGCGGGGAGGTGAGTGCACGACCCTCAGGGCCTGGCCCAGCCCCTAGCCTCCCGCCGCCGCCTCCTGGTTGTCCGCGTGTGCCGGCTGTTCCGAGGAGCGGCGGGATCGGGGATGTGGGGGTGGGGGCGGCCTGGGGCTCTTAGGGACAGGCCGGATCCACGCGGCCCCCAGTGCCCGAGTCGGGGAGGCAGCACGTCCGGCCGAGGAGGGGCTTGACTCTAGTTGCAGCAGTTTGTTCTCCGTGTCGTCTTCCGAGCGGCCGAGGGGCGCAGGGGACGGCGAGGTGGCTGCGGCGGGGGCGGTGCAGTCAGAGCGGCGGAGGTCCGCAGCTGTGAGCCCAGCTGGGGAGCCACGCTCCCTGTGGCTGTGGACGGGGCTGCGGAGAGCAGGTCTCCGGGAAGGCCCTGGCCCTGCGAGTCCCGGGAACTCGAGGGCTACCCACGTTAGTGCAGATGCTCCGCGCACTGGGAGGCGGCCGGAATGCCAATGAGCGACAGTGGGGCACGCAGCTGTCACTGGGTGCAGATAGCCCTGTCGCCATGATCAATGCCCGCTCTGGTAGCCAGGCAAAATGGGAAATCGTGCTCAGAACCCGCTTTGTTGATTGCCTGAGAAGTCACTGCCTTGCTGCCTGTACGAAGGCCCCCTTGGCAGAGGTTTGGGGAAGTCAGGGCGTGTGGTGAGTATAGGCGTCAGGCTGAGAGAGCCATCTGCGGCCTTTTCTCCCCAGGCGGGGCCTGGGATCACTGACAGTCCTCCCCGCCCTCTCCATATATCCTTTACTCTGGCTTTGTGAATATTCTCACAAAGTTTACTGTGGAGTCTCCTTCTGGCGACGTTGCTTCAGTCTCTTAGGTACTAGTTTTACAGTTGACCTCTCAAGGAACAGTCTTTTTCATGTTTGGGGGGACTGGTGGCTGTGGGGAGCAGTATCATTGATGGCACTGGAGAAGGGGAGAGGGGTGGGACTGGTTCTCAGGAAAGATAATGACAAGTTTTGCTCTAGACATACTGGATCGGAGGTGATGTCTAAGATCTGGCTGAAGGAGGTTAGAAGGAAGGTGGGTGCTTGGAATGGGTGGAGACTTTGGAATCAAAGTGAATTGGAAGAGGAAGGTAAATTCAGTAGCAGAAGGTCAGGGAGAAAGCACATATTCAGCAAGTCTGTGGAGACGGCAGAACCAGCAAAGCAGAAGAAATGAAGATGGGGTCGGGGTATCATGGAGGCCAAGGAGAGGAGGCCTGGGGTGGGGTGGGTGTAATCTGCATGCCCACTGCACTGGGAGGAGGGGTAATGGTAGCTCTTTGCATGTGATGAGGCTGAGGTGAGCAGTTTGTTGAGATGTTTGAGTTGAATGCGGAGTCCCACCAGGCCCAGGCTCAAGTCTGAGCCAGCCACTTTCTGTTACCTGGTTAGTTCCTCACCTGGGGAATGGGCATCACAATAGCACCTCCACCTGTGCGAGGGAGGCCACTAATAACTAGCCAGCAGGCTTCAGGCTCAGCTATATGCACTTGACGTGCAGCACTCACGGAAGCGTCACAACAGCCAGTCAGCCTTCTTCAGAGTTGGGAACAGGGTCAGAGAAATTAAGTTACTTACTCAAAGTAGCCTATAAAAGCTGTGGAACTTGCCTTCAGTAGAGTAACAGTTATTCAAACTGTGAGGTGTCTGAGGTGTTGGAAATAGCATTGGATTGAGAACTACTTTCTGGGAAGTTTTCCTCATGCAAAGTAGTTGTTTATTTAGTTGGTTGTTTTCAAAGGCAGAAATGATTCTCTAAGGTTTTCAGTTTGCTCCCAGATGGTGTCAGCCATATGTTTCATTTTAACTATGTGGTTTCCTGATCAGAGAACTAGACATTATTGTTGCCATAAATTCTATTACAGTTGTGGGGTCTATGTCTGTAAGCAAATTAGTAACCTTGATAAATAAATCACTGATTTAATGTCTTTCACTAATCATAGCTTTAATCATTTGTGTTTATAATTGGAGGAAATCTTAGCAATATTCTGTTTTTCCATGCAAATGTTATCCTAGGAAAGTATATCAGGAGCTTCACTTCAGAAATCTGTGTTAAGAAGTAAAATGTGATTTGAATACTTACACGAGAAAGCTAGGTTGTTAATGAGTTTATATCTTCTCAAGAACTGAAGTAATCCTCATCATTTTTATTTTATTTCTGTGGTGGTTCATGGATGAGATAATTCTTGTTTTTGTTTTCAAAGCTGTCTTTAGAAAGAAGAAAGATGGAAAGTGGTGCAGTTCTGCTGGAATCCAAATCCTCACCATTGAACCTTCTGCATGAAATGCATGAGCTTCGGCTTCTGGGTCACCTGTGTGACGTGACAGTCAGCGTGGAGTATCAGGGCGTCCGTGAAGACTTCATGGCCCATAAAGCAGTGCTGGCAGCTACCAGCAAGTTTTTTAAGGAAATGTTCCTTAATGACAAGAGTGTGGATGGTACTAGGACTAACGTCTACTTAAATGAAGTGCAGGTTGTTGACTTTGCTTCATTCCTTGAGTTTGTCTACACGGCAAAGGTACAGGTGGAAGAAGATCGGGTGCAGCGAATGCTGGAAATGGCTGAAAAGCTGAAATGTTTGGACTTATCAGAAACTTGTTTTCAATTAAAGAAACAGATGTTAGAGTCCGTACTTTTGGAGTTGCAGAATTTCTCAGAGTCTCAGGAGGTGGAGGCGGGCAGTGGCTCCCAAGTCAGTGTCACTCCAGCGCCCAGGGCCAGTGCGGCCACAGAGGGCCTTCACTCCAATGGCCTTGCGGAGTCCTCAGACTACTCAGTAGGGAGAGTCAGCAATGGCATGTCTGACGACATGCCACCCAGGAAGTCCAAGGAGAAACTAGACAAGAAGAAAGAGGTAGTGAAGCCTCCCTACCCTAAAATCCGGAGAGCTAGCGGAAGGCTGGCTGGAAGGAAGGTCTTTGTGGAGATCCCGAAAAAGAAATACACGAGAAGACTCCGAGAGCAGCAGAGAAGTGCAGAGGATGAGGTGGCGGACTACAGGTGTCCGGAGGACCGAAGCCCGGATAGTGTGGGTACAGAGGTGGAGCCAGTTGAAAAAAACGAGGGGTGCTGTGCAGGTGCCGAGGGAGAGGAAGTGTTACAGAAAGCAGGGGTGGAGGAGGAGGAAGAGGACGAAGAGGACGAAGAGGGGGAGAAGAAGAAGAGCAACTTCAAGTGCGCCATCTGCGAGAAGGCGTTTCTGTACGAGAAGAGCTTCCTGAAGCACACCAAACACCACCACGGGGTGGCCACTGAGGTGGTGTACCGCTGCGACACCTGCGGCCAGACCTTCGCCAACCGCTGCAACCTGAAGAGCCACCAGCGCCACGTGCACAGCAGCGAGCGCCACTTCCCTTGCGAGCTGTGCGGGAAGAAGTTCAAGCGCAAGAAGGACGTGAAGCGGCACGTGGTGCAGGTACACGAGGGCGGCGGCGAGCGGCACCGCTGCGGGCAATGTGGCAAGGGCCTGAGCTCCAAGACGGCGCTGCGGCTGCACGAGCGCACGCACACGGGCGACCGGCCCTATGGCTGCACCGAGTGCGGGGCCAAGTTCTCGCAGCCGTCCGCGCTCAAGACCCACATGAGGTACGTCGTCTGGGAGCCACCCGGAGATGGCTTTGCCTACAGTGTGGCTGGCTTGTGTACGGGACTGTCTTTCTAGAAGTGCCTGTGGAGAAATTGAGCTTGGCCTGGGATTTGGCCCTGGTGGCCACATCTCTGGGTGTCTCACTTCATTTGTCCCCTCCAAACTTTGGGTGATATTTCGAGACAGCTTTAAGCTCTCTTTTCAGGTAGAGAAGCTGTGAGAGATGGCTGTTCTTCACCTTCTCAGAAGCCCCTAAGTGTTCCTTACAGTCCCTTGTCCTCCTAGGACGTGTCCTTTTAGCTCAGAGCCCTGCTCAGGTGGAGCTGCCCTCCTGCAGCAGAGTGCTGGACAGTGGCTTCCCCACAAGGCCCACCTGCCTGTGCTGCAGGCCAGGGCTGTCCCCTCCCTGTGATGTTCACAGTTCCTGCCATGCTTGAGGAAGAGTGGGGCCGAATTACTTTTATTTCTCTTTTCCTGACTCTTCATTTAGAACTTGGGTTCTGTGACCATCTGGGTCCCATCATCCCATTAAAGATCTCAGTGAGATGCCATTGAGGGTTTGAGGACACATCTCTGGTCTTATCTGTTCTCAGGGCTGGGGAAATGTGCCATCTGGTAAGTGGAAACTCCAGAATCAGGATGGACAGTGTTTTCTGTTTGTTAATATGTTTTGAACTGTAGGTGTGTGGTGTTCAGTTTTAAAATAAGTTTCCTTACAGTTCTCAGTATTGACGCTTGAAATTACAGCAAGCAGTTTTCTACTCTATTCTAGACTCTGTTTCTAGGCCAGCCTTTGCAGTGGTGGCATGGTGTTCATCATCTTTTACGCTATATAATTATGGACTACTCAGTAGAGAGTCTACTGAGTCTACTGAGGAAGTGCTCAGTAAATGATAGTCAATTGCTGCTTTACAGTAGTTGTGAAATTAAAATGCTTGGGCACACTCCTCAGAAACCAGATTTCTTCAGCATTTTGAGAACAGTTCTCTTTTCTAGACTGGTTATGTCATATTAGGAAGTGATAGCAAAATTTTTGATCATGTGGCACTTTGTCAACAGTAGATCCTAAGGTGTTTGCGGCTGATTGTATGAAAAAGCTTTACAAACGTTAGTCCCCAAGTGTTTTAAACAATCTGAAAAGGCATGGTCTCTGCATGTGCCTTATAGCATAAACAGTGAGGCTCATGAGCAGATGTGGAAGAACATTCAGGAAACGTGTAGAAACTCAGTTTCTTTTCAGATGGAGATAATGGGCCCCAGACCTGTCACTTTTGTCATTCTCATTAGGTCTCTTGGAGTAAACAAGTTTTGCAGGATACAGTGGAAATTGTTTTGCAAAGTGAGCTTTGAAATACTTTCTGAGTTACCATCTGAATGTTGTACTTTCAGGATTCATACAGGGGAGAAACCTTTTGTCTGTGATGAATGTGGTGCAAGATTCACTCAGAACCACATGCTGATTTATCATAAAAGGTGTCACACAGGTAAATATTCCTGCTGTTGTGATCGAATGTCTTTCCTAGCTGTAGAAGGAAACTGCTTGATTAATTTAGAAGTTGGCATCTACCGAGGTGGTGCAGTTAAAGCTATGCTATGGCTTTTCCATCTGGTAAGCTAGCAAAAATGAATAAGAACACATCCGTTGCTTCCCATGCTGGTGTGCACGTGGCTGTGGCTTTTATGCCACCGGCAGTAGGATCTGGCTCACGGGTCTTAGGTAGCAAGAGGTATGAAACAGTTTCTACTGTCTTAGCCGAAAATTCCATTTCCAGGAATCTCTCCTAAAGAAATTGTCCAAAATATGGGAAAAGCTATATGCTATTATCCCTCTTCTTGCTATTTTTTATTAACAAAGAATTGGAAACAACCTGATTGTCCAGCCACACAAAAGTGGTTCAGTAAACTCTGGTAAATCACCCCCTGGCTTGTGAACTGGCCAGAGTAAGGGCTCTAAAGGGTATGAAAAACCATCTATGCTTGGATGTGGATTTAAAAATGCACAATTAAGCATACAGTTAATCACAACTGTATTGAAAACCTGCATGTAAAAGACCATGTATAAAAAGGTGGTAGGTTTATCTCATTTCTATTTTCCAAAATCTTTGTGATATGATTTTATTGTATGAGGGAAAAAATTTAAGTAGACTTTATTTTGGTTCAGCACAGTAACCCTGAGGTTCAGAATCTTGTTGCATACAATACAGAAGTATACAGAATCTAAGTATTCTAATTCTATAATGTGAACACACTTCCCTTTTTACTTGCATTTTTTGCCCTTACTTCTAGGCACTGTCATACAGGCCTCAAGTTCAAATGCAGGCAAGACAGAGAGGAAGTGTTTAATTACGTGAATTACAACTACAGAATGAGCAGAACTGGTGTCTAATAGAAGCTTAGGTTTGGGGACAATGTCAGGTTATAGTGAAAGATTGAGTTAAAATTGGTCACCTGATGAGAATATTAATGTATTAATATTTTATTAAAACCAGTATTTTGATGTTTGTGAAATCAGGGGCACACTTAATAATTCAACTACTGATTTATGAGATTTGAACCTTTCTTTTGTCTTGCAGTCCGACCAAGTTGACTGGACTTGCTACTCTAGGACAGTTACACATGTACGTCTGTTGTACTCTCCCTCTCCTTTGAAGAGGGACTTTTATCCTAGCAAAGACCCATAGAAGTGCTCCTTTGAAAGTAACCCAACAGTCCCTCCAAACAGAAGTTGTGAAATTATTTTCTCGTTTGGAATGACTAAATTTCTAAAATGTGAGCTAGCTGAACAATACCTCTTTGAATCAGTTTAATGGAGTTTTTCTTGGGATTTCCAAGGACATTTTACACCAACTTTCAGCAAGTAGCAGTCACCTTACATGAATAAATGTTGTGTAATAGTTTTGACTAGCAGATGTAAGATGCTGCCAGCCAAGGCACTTTTGAGGAGTTTATGTGGTTTTTAAGAGTGCAGACCTACTCTTTCCATGTGCTTGTAACGCCTATATTGTTTCTAACATTATTATTTCATCTTTTTGTGTAGGTGAAAGACCATTTATGTGTGAGACATGTGGCAAGAGTTTTGCTTCCAAGGAGTACTTAAAACACCACAATAGAATCCATACTGGATCCAAACCCTTTAAATGTGAAGTATGTTTCAGGACTTTTGCCCAGCGGAATTCACTTTACCAGCATATTAAAGTCCATACAGGTATGGCTAGAACGTCCCAGGGAAGGGAGTTCAGTTTGACAAAAAAAAAATCTTGAAGGTTTTAGATTTACTAGAAAAATATTTGGAATTAAGCTTTAGTAGAAAACTTTAGTCAAACTTTTTAAGACATAATAGCATGTTTTTAATTCTGAATTTCTTATCTCTGGCTCTGGGAAACCGAAAAGTAGAACTATTTATGTGTGCAAATGGGAGACAGCCAGTCCCATTGCTACTTGGAGTTTTTATTGAAAAGGACAGAAAGCTTACCCATGGTATGAATGTTGGAATACAAATGTGGATATGTGAACATTTTAATATTTTCACAGTATAACTAGGGATAATGATCTATACATGTTAGTATACACACACACACACACACACACACACACACAAATTCGGTTATTAGAGGATTTGGAATTTTGTCCTCCATTACTGGAGGAGTCTATAGATATAAAACCTACTGCAGGCATGGGCTGTGGCCTGCTTTTGGTATAAGCCATCAACTCTTGGTATTGTAGGGACAGTAGATTTGTGCCTCTGTTAGTTGGCCCTTGAGTTGTTCCCAACACAGCTTTCCTTATGTTGAAATGCTGGGGCTTCCCGGAGGCTTGCAACAGCATCATTCCAAGTGTATTCAGTCAGGATTAAACCCAGGAGGTCAAAGAGACCCACCAGCAGTCTGCTCTCCCCCTGCCGCAGGGGAGCGTCCCTACTGCTGTGACCAGTGCGGCAAGCAGTTCACCCAGCTCAACGCCCTGCAGCGCCACCGCCGCATCCACACTGGGGAGAGGCCGTTCATGTGCAACGCCTGCGGACGGACGTTCACTGACAAGTCCACCCTCCGGCGGCACACCTCGGTAAGCAATGGGTGGCTTGTTCCAGAAAGAAAACAGTTGGCCTTTAGATGCACAGAACCCCCAATAGAAACACCTGCTACCATTCCACAAGGTAAGTAGAGGAGACAACAGGTATTTTCTGTTGAGTGAGTACATTCGGGGTGAATACAGTGGAAAACCAGGCCCTGAGGAAAGCACAGTCCCTGATATATACTTTCTGACAGTGAGGGTTGGGGATAGGCCAATATTTGACAGTCAATGAAGGGAGTTTTACTGCAGTGGAAACCAAATTGAGGTTGGAGAGGGACCGTTGTTTTAAAAGATACACTTGTTCAGAGACACATTTGGTGACTTTTGTTTTGTGTTTGATTTGTAGATACACGATAAGAATACTCCATGGAAGTCTTTCCTTGTTATTGTAGATGGCTCGCCCAAGAATGATGAAGGGCACAAGACTGAACAGCCCGATGAAGAATATGCGTCGTCCAAACTCTCGGATAAATTGCTGTCTTTTGCAGAAAATGGCCATTTCCACAACCTGGCTACAGTCCAAGGCACTGTACCCACCATGCACGAGAACAGTTCTGCAGACACAGCCTGCAAGTCGGACAACTCTGTAGTGTCCCAGGATGCCCTGCTCGCCACCACCATCAGTGAGCTCAGCGAGCTGGCTCCACAGACAGACTCGATGGCCACACAGCTTCACTCTCTGACTAACATGGAATAGAGCTTGAAGTTACATGCCAGGAAGATCCCATCCTGTTAGTCTTTGTCTGTGTGTGATAGCTGGACTCAAGATGATGTCGGGGCTAAGAGAAATAATTGTCTGTGTGCAAAGTTGTGGGCAAGAATGGCCTCTGCAGATTTTCCTGAACTTATGCTAACTTGCACGGCTTTATCACAGCATTTTAAAGGCTTTCCCTTAACAATCCCGATCTGCATGATGTCAGCTACACTTTATCGACAAAGCAGTGAACATAACCTCACTTAATTCTGGTGCAGCTTGTGTGTGTTAATCATTCTAATGCTTATCTATCTTGATGTTTAGACAACCGCGTGTCTTCGTTGCAGAGTACAAAGCATTGATTCAGCTCATGAAATTGCTGTTAGTGGTCTTCCTGGTCTCTCAGCCTGCCTTATATTTCCATGTGGGTTTACTTCTCTGATACTTACAAGGTATTTTTTTTACCAAGCTGAAATAAAACTGGGGCCACATATTTTCAGCTTTTCTTCCCTTTTGAATTGAAGCAAATCAGATTTGCTGTGTGACCCTGGAATAGGACTGAAGAAATGGATTATTACAGGTATTCCTCCCAGCCCCATACATAGGCACTAAAAAAGGTATGACATATTGAACACTTGCAAAAGTGCTCTCTGTTCAACAGCACATAATGCAGCTAAGAAATCTGTCATAAGTCAACTTATGAAATGAGATGAGGCTGTTCAGTTTCAGTCATTAAAAAATCAAATTGGTAAAAGCTGTCCTACCAAAGAGTCTAGCAAAACAGTATAGTATTTTTTGCAAGAGGTGTGAAAAATTAAGCAAGAGGCTATAGAGCACTCGAACATTTGTGTAGTCATTTTATTTGCAAATGAGGTGATTGTGGCAAATCTTAGAACGCTAAGTATTAGTATTTTTGCCAGGTTTTTCTGACTTGATTTCTGTAATTTATAGAATCCCAGACTTCCTCATTTCCACATCCAGAGATTGAAATAGGCAAGTATTGCCCATGTCTGTTTTCTTGGGAGCATGTGAGTATATAGCAGAAGGGACCAAAAGCCTCAGCACAGTTACCTCTGATTATGCCTTAAAGAGTAGATTGTGAAGAACCAGTAACTGTCTCAAGTGTTCCTTTGGCTGTTTCATGCAGGACTTAATTATTGCTTAAAAAAATTCACAACTGAATGGGCACAGTGGTTTATACCTGTAATTCCAGGGCTTTGGGAGGTGGAGATGGGAGGATTGTTTGAGGCCAGGAGTTTGAGACTAGTCTGGGCAACATAGCAAGACCCCATCCCTATACAAAATAAAAAAATTAGCCTGGCGTAGCAACACATGCCTGTAGTCCTAGCTACTTGAGAGGCTGAGGTGGGAGGGTTACTGGAGCCCAGGAGCTCCAGGATGCAGTAAGCTATGATCGTGCCACTGTGCTCCAGCCTGGGTGACAGAGTGAGACCCTGTCTCTTAAAAAGAAAAAAATTCACAATGAAAAGATGATTCTGCTGTATTTGTTAAATGTGACATTTGGTTCCAGGGCCTTGGGTATGTGCCACATGCTTGTGAAATGCTTTGATTTACATGTAACCCTTAAACATAATAATTTCAAAAGAAAACCTTGAGAATTCTTTTGTTCACTAGTTGCTTTTGTTCCCCTGCATTTTTAATTTATTAAATTTGCTGTGAAAACACTTTGATTTTCTAAGAGGAAGGTACTTTGTCATAAGTTCCAGGATGACGATATAGCTGTACCAAGCGAGAAACTGATGAGGGAAGACTTTCTTCCTAAGTGCTTATTTTGTTTTAACTTATAACATGTTAGTGAAACCACTACAGGGTGTTTCAGGCACTGATAACATGTTTCACACCTGCTCTTGCAGGTCACAGTACTGAATTATTTCACATTCAGTTAAGACGACGTCATTGTATCCTAGTTGTGTTTACAGAACAAATAAGTAGCAACTGTCACACAGCCTTTTAATCTTGGTGAGAGGAGACTGAATCTGCCCAGATGATGTACTGTTTTATGGAATAAAGTCACTTGGATGAGAAGGAATTTAAACAATAGATTATTTTGTTACCTACTGGAAGAGTTTTTGTCTTGAATTTGTTTCTTTAGAAGTTCTAAAAATGTTAGCGTTAATAAATATCTGCTTTGTAAAATTAGTTTTGCAATTCTATTTTTATTATAATTTAGGCTCTGTAGAAATAAGCTTCTCAATTAAAACAAGTATAATATTCCTAATTACATGAATAATGAAATTTAAAATCAGGGTTGTCAGTCTTTATTTCATACAGTCCGAGGGTTAAAACTGTGTAACTGCTTGCATGCCAGTTAGTGTCCAGCAGTGGCAGCTTGGAGCAGAGAAACACCACTCTGCATATGCACAGGTGGCAGTGTAAATGCCAGTGGAGCTCTCTGCCAGTTTCTTCAATGTAATGTTAAATTAGGCATCAAAGAGACAACTTTTACAATATACATTTCTCTGTCCCCTTCCTGGGAAGGTAAGTCTGTCCTTGAGAACAGAGAAGCCTGCAGACCCCGTAGGAGACTGGTTACAGAAGACCATGTGGAGCGTCTCCTTGTTCCCCCTAATCCAAGCACAGCTGAGTGGAAGGCAGGCTGCCCGTCCGTCCCAGGTGAGAAATGAGCAAAGTGCCCCGGTGCTGGCATACTGCTTCTCTCAGAGCCTTAATGAAGGCCATTGAGGAGGTGACTTAGTGCCTTCCAATCATTTTGAGTAAAATACTTTTAGGCCAAATGCCAAAGGGTCTGAAGCCTTTGGTTTCGCCATACTTTTTGTTGTATAGAGTTTGAAAAAATGAGCCGTGTGGTAGGGAAGACCTTTATTAAAGATGATTTTAATAGAGATGTGGTTTTGCTTTGGTGATTATCCAAACAAATTTGAGTCTATGTTATAATTTAATTTTAACCTGCTAAATGTTTAAATCTTGTCACACTAGGGAGTTCAACATATTTTGGAAACCAAATGGATGCTTGTCCATTTAACTAAACTTGATGGCATTCATGTGCTTAGGAGTAACAATATTATTTCAGGTGGGGGGAGGGCACTAGTGCAAAGGACCATAGTCCACATGCAGCTGGATGGGGGCAGATGTGACTGAGATGGCCACAAGCAGGTCAGAGGGCCATCTAGCACAGCACCCTACCTGAGCCTCAAATCATCCTTTGGCAGTCTGTACAGGGACTCTTACTAATGCTGACAAAACCAGGCTTTGAACCCGCCAGGTGGCTGCTTTTTCTGTTAGGAAACTGAGAAGAGACATTTGATGATTAGACCCTGAATGACCAACTTCTCAGAATTCCCAGACTGGGATGGCATATTCTGTTTTACAAATTTGCAGGCCTTATGGTGGGCTCTGCTGCAGCGCTACCATGGCTGGTTATCAGCTGATCCACACCTGTGGCGACAGTGCACACAGCACCAGCCCCGCAGTGCTGGGAGTGTCTGGGCTGGGCTGCCTGTGGCCTCCCGGCTTTCTGAGTCGTGGAGCCAGGCAGCCCTGCGATTCTGTGTGGGTGTAGTTAATAGTATTTTGAAGTACAGCGGTTAGATTCTTGGAGGAACGTCTGTGGATGTGTACAAAAAGTGATTCATCATACTGCATTTCCCCCCTAGCATTAGAGAAAAGGGATTTTAAAACGAAAGTTGGTGAAAATGACCCCAAATTTGGCAATCATTGCTATCCAAAATGGGGGAAGAGAATAAAAGAAAATATTTTCTCTCACCTTAATTTCACTTTCTAAACCCACCAGTACCTTTTCCAAACCCTTATATTTCCTGTTCCTACTTTGTGAAGAATTGCAGAAATATAACTGAAAAGTCATGATATTCTTTTTAGCAATGCCTAGATGAGAAATTTTTTCCCTTTGTAGTAAAAGTGTCTATTCTCAGCATTTTTATTTTTATCTGAGACAGTCTCACTCTGTTGCCCGGGCTATAGTGCCATGGCGTCGGCCCAGCTCACAGCAACCTCAAACTCCTGGGCTCAGTGATCCTCCTGCCTCAGCCTCCCGAGTAGCTGAGACTACAGGCATGTACCACCATGCCCGGCTAATTTTTTTTCTATATATTTTTAGTTGTCTAGCTAATTTCTTTCTATTTTTTTATTAGAGACAGGATCTTACTCTTGCTCAGGCTGGTCTTGAACGCCTGAGCTCAAACGATCTGCCCACCTCAGCCTCGAGAGTGTTAGGATTACAGGCGTGAGCCACCATGCCCAGCCCTCAGCATTTTTAAATTTAAATATTTCATTGTATGAAAACTCTTGTATTCCTTTTTTAAAACACAAGTATGCAGACCTCCTCTGGAAGGTGTGTCCTCTTAACAGCTAGGGAGATTTTCTCCTTAAGAGGTCAGTGCTGAATAATGTGTGGAAATAATTTCAACACTTTAAACAAGATGCTATATTGTACATCTGTACTGTCAAGGGTATATTGATCATGAGGGAATATCAAAAAACTAACATTAAAAATTGGCTTTGAATTACTTGAAGAGTTGTGAATATGCTTTAGGACCTGAAATCAATGCTATGACAGGATGATAGGACCAGCCAGCCTATGCTACCCCACATGGTCCTCCCCAGACCTTCAGTCCCCAGTGATCACTGGGCTTGACCCTTCCCCAGCGGCACCTGCCTGCCCCTGTACAGATACCTGCAAAATTAAAATAGTGGCCCACGCTGCCCAGAGCGTTGGGTGGCACTTTCTCGGGGGGAAGGGAGTGGCAGGTTTCAGGGCTCCTCGCCTCCCCATCACCTAACAGTCTTCCAGCAACCACTACTTCCTCAACTTTGCAAGTAACTGTGGAGCCTGAAGGATTCAAGGAAGTGACGAGAATGCAAGCTCTGCAGAATTATGCACTTTAGTGGACTGGATCAACACACACACCCAGGGTGTCCTGCGAACCCCGCAGCCTGCAAAACCATTAAAGTGCCCTGAACGCCCACCAAGTGACTGAGGTTCAAACAGCCTAGAGAATATTAATATGCAATGCCTTAAACTTAATGGGAACAACTTCAAGAAAGGGAAGATACTTTTGTTTGACCTGTGTAAATTTAGCAAGACTAGGCAAAATATTACTTATAATTTCCATTTTATTTACTGTACAGGTTCAAATAAAACAAACATACTCTTTTTGCTAAGGTAGATTTATTGTTACATGGTTAGTTTTCATCATGTAATCCTTGCTGGAGAGCAACTCAGGACCCCACAGGGCAGGAAACCTGCTACTGGTCACAGCTCTCACACGGCAGTGGGCAGGTCACAGGAGCATGCTGTGCTGCCAAATCCCCCAGAGAAAGTCACAAAGGTTTGTATTTGGACATTTTAAATGCACAAAATCAGAGGAAACAATAAATGTACAAGGGTTGGTGCATATACTTTGGTTACAGTGACACCACCACACACGGTCACAACTGTGCAAAAATACTGTTTTCAAATCATTAAATAAAAACAAGGAACTTACACAAGCTATAAAAATGTTGCCACAAAAAGCAAAGCTTTCCTATAAGAAATTTTAACCAACTTTTACAATGAACCAACCCCAGACTTGCTAAGTACAAGAGCTGTACCATAAACAATCATTATATTTTTTTCATAAATAATATCTACAAATCCTGAAGACTTGACTCACAGGCATCTGGAAACATGGCACTGTCCTACGTCCATGGGACACTGAAAGGAATTAAGTGTGTACACTGTTGTCTGGGCGTTTCTCTCATGCTCCTTTCATCTTATGGCAGGTCTATGCTAGTCATTACAATTACTTTTATTCTTTTCATATGAAATATTGTAGACAAAAATTAATTCTTAACCCAGGCCCCAGTCCCAGTGTTTATTTGAATACAAAGAAGCAACTCTCTGATGTAACAAAATGTTATGAACACTGTGTTAAAAAATCATACCTCTTCTTCAGACAAGTGTCTGTTAGGGAGGATTATGATGAAAGATAAACAGAATTGCCCTAAAAGAAATGATTAGGTTTATACTTTAAGTGGTCAGACTAGAAGAGTCTTTTAACAAGTAGACACAAACTTTTTAAATTAGTGATGCAACACGCACACTGGCTGGCCTGTGCAGATGCTCTCCTAATGGAACAGACTTAAAACCAGAAGACTCAAGCTGCAGAACCACTCCCCATTCCCCACTTTCACAAAAGTGTATTTGGCTGGTTGTAGAATACATTAGGTATAGCAACAAGAAACCACTTTTTTCTCTGATCATTTTTTCATAAGAGAGTCTAAGAGGGAGGGAAGAAGCACCGGCTGGCACCATTCCAGATCTGCTCTTCAGTGACAGTCAGCTTTCATTTAAGAGTCTCAGACCTTGGAAGGAAGGAAGGAATTCTCATCAGATTCTAGGGCCCATGGCCAGAGTGTCCTCATCTTCTGGCCCATTCCCTCCACCCCAGTGGACACTGACATCACGGAGCTTTCTGCTTTATCAGCCCACCTCGCAAAACCACCACTGTAACTATGGCCACGAGTCCTCATGGCCACCTGGTGTGGAATCTCTACGATCTGGCCTTAGCTGGCCCTTTCACCTTCATCTCCTGCTACTTTCTCTTTCCTCCTAGACTGACCTACTCACCATTCCTCAAATCCCCCTCACTCGGCCCTTGGCCTGGGCACACCCAATCTACTTCTATCCAACAAAATCCCACTAATCCCAGTCGAGGGCCATCCAAAAATGTAAACACCATTCCAATACTACTTACTACCTGACATGACATGGGAAATTTCATTATCTGTCATTAATGACAGCATCACAATTTAGGAAGAACCACAGGTTATGTATGGCAACAAATGCATATCATTTGTATCATTTTTTTTTTTGAGACGGGATCTCCCTGTGTTGCCCAGGTTAGCCTCAAACTCCTGGGCTCAAACGATCCTCCCACCTCAGCCTCCTGAGTACCTGGGATTACAGGTGCATGCCACTACATCCTGCTTTTAATAAATGCATGTCAAAAACAAATCATTTAACTATAAAATATGCACAAAGGAAATTCAGGAAATAAGACCATGTCTAAAGTACAATATCAGCATATAAAATAATAGGTAGGATCAAATTCACAAATCAAGAGAGCACACATAATTATGTAAACAGAAATAAACAGGACAAAGTTCAAACACACAAGCTAAGAGGAAGATGAAGTCCCCTCAGAAGCAGTTAGGGTTCTTGCCCAACTAGTCAAAAAGTAAATTCCTGTACCATACTTACCCCACCTAACCCACCAACTTCAATAAATGAATAAATTAATTACATACCTTCTCAAGCTTGACTTAGATAATCTATCCAGCCCTGATCAAAATTTATATGACCATGGCACAGAAGATACCAGCTCAATGTGGGAAAGTGTATGAACATGAAAATAAAGAGCAGGATGTGCCAATTAAAACACTCATATGCAAACATAAAGAAAGGGCTTTCCACTCCCGCTAAAAGTGGAAACTATTTCCAGGGAAAGGGAAAATTCCGTTTCTAACAGATGTTATGATTCGTGTGTGTGCATGTGTGAGTGTGGGTATAAGGATAAGTCGATCGAATCCACCTTGACATTCATCCACACACACAAGTGCTACTAGGAAGCGCTTTTCCTCACAATGTAAGTGACGACGACAAACCTTGGCTGCTATAAATTTCTGTCATGCACGTACATGTTAGCATACAGAACGATACGAAAAGCAAAGAAACTTGTCACTAATACCATCAAAATAATCACAGGAAAACAAAAATATAAATGATTTCTAATGAAGTTATAAACTCATTCCTAATAATTGTCCTAAAAGTAAACACACGCATTTAAAGAATACATCCAGATGCCGACGTATAGAGAAAATGCAAAGCATCTATTAGAACTGGGTTGGGTACTCCAGTCCAAGGAAAAGAACATAAAAATATGGCAACATTAAACATGGGCTCTGCAAATATCAGAGTAATAGGAATGAGATTCTGAAGTAATTCTCAGAAAATGCTAGGGGTTCTGATAAGCACAAGACAGCCCATCACAACCACAGGTGAACAGAGGCCTCCCCTTCATCCGTTCCACAGCAACACAGACACAGTGAGCTTAAACAATACACGGGCCACTTGGCTCATATGCAACAAAATTAAGCCACTGAATGGGCATCCCATAAAGATCACTTAGTCCTAAGACAAAACTAAAGAGGAGTTAGCCACATGCCACAAAGATAGAGACATTTCATTTTAGGTCTCCGTCTCCTTCTCCATCCCCTTGGATAGACTTTTTGATGCGAAGCAACATGGTGGTTAGCCACTGATCCAAGCGTGATATTGAGTCAAATTCCTTTACCTAGTGTAAGGAAAGAGGAACAGGAATTATTGCATGGAAATACATTCAAAACAAAAAATAACAGTACCCTAAGCTGCATTTATAGTCATAATCCATCAACTTTCTTCATTAGAAATTATTCATTTTAGTTTATAACTTTCTTCCTTAAAAGTTGTTTATTTTTTCATTATCCTGTTACCGTTTTGATGGTACTAGTGACAAGTTCCTGGGCTTTTGATATTGTATTGGTGAATGTGTGTATGACAAAAATTCATTAATGTGACAGAGGAAACTGGATGCTGTACAAGAATTAGAAAGGAATGTGGGAAATTAATATTCATCGAACATGGAAGAACATAACTGCAGAATTAGAATGTGTGGAAGCGGAATTCCTTTACCACATTTCAATGCATTACCAAAGAATAAGTTTACAATAGGATGAAAATGACTTGGCAAAAAAAGTTATTAGTAAATAGAAAAATATTCCTTTCTACTATCACTTCAGAGACACGATGAACATGTGAATGGCAGTTATTAAGAAATCTGCTTGAATCTAAACATAAGATGGGAAAACAAAAAAAAGGTGAGTATAAAGGAAAAAAACTTTCATTTATTTTAAGCCACAAATATAGCTAACTCTCACTACTTCATTTCTATATTTTCAATTATATTTTTAACTAATTTTACTTTATACTTATTTATGGATCATATGGTTTTTGTTTTTTGTTTTTTTGCTCCGTCGCCCAGGCTGGAATGCAGTGACATGACCATAGCCCACTGCAGCCTTGAACTCCTGGGCTCAAGGGATCCTCTCACCTCAGCTTCCGAGTAGCTGGGACTGCAGGTGTGTGCCACCATGCCTCTCTTAGATCAGATTATTTTCAAAAGAAAATATTAAAGTGACAAATCGTAACGGTATATATGTGATATTTGCTCTTGAACTAGCCTGAAAGCTAAATTAGTTTTGAGTGTAAGTCAGGAAACAGTGCTGAGTACAATTGGCATTTCAGCATGTTTCAGCATGGCTAATGGAACTGTCTAATTTATGGGAGATAATAAAACGTGACCTTTGGAAAATACAATGTAGGTATGCTGGAATAATATTCAAATAAATGTTCAGAATTTACACAATGAAAAGGAAAAGAATTCTATAACTTAAGTCTTCAAAGAATGTAATATATCCCAAAGGGAGAACTTACTGCTTCAGTGTAAGCTTCACTGTTCTGTTCTTCATGGGCCTCTAGAAGTTTCTGGTAGCATAAAAATACGAAAATATTAGTTTTGTAAGATGAAAAAGTCCTATTTCTGAATGGATACTTTAAACACAGAAACAGCCTTAGTATGACATTAACTGATATTGCCAAATATCTCACACAACTAGGGAAACATTCAAATACAAGTCAAGATCCAAGTCAGGAATCTAGCTTTTTTTACTAATATTTCTGAACTGCCTGTTTCAGAACGCAATCCTCTGTTCCTGACTGTAATGACATTTGAACTCATATACCGCAAAGGCAGGGAAGTACCAGGTCTCCTCAGCAGACTTTATGGATGAAAATTCCACTATAAACCCAATTCCACTTAGGTATTGTTACCTGATAGAGAAAAGGCTCTTTAAAGTTCTAATATTACTTACTTTCAATAATTTACATTCTCTTGAATCAGTAAATGCTGGAAACATTTCTTCATACTTCTCAAGAGCAAGCTGAGAAAGAAAAATCACTCATCAATGTCAGACTTTCTGAACTAGGAAACAAAGCTTTTAACATCGTATTAACTTCAAGAAGAACTATCTACATCCTATGTAAGTGTTTAAGAAGTAGGCTATTAAATCCAACAACAGAATCAATACAGGAAACCCATTTATTCTGAATTTTCAATGTCAATTAAGAGTGATTTCTAAACCCATTTTTCTAAGTTAGGCCACTTAGAGAAGGCAATGTGAAAGAAAATTAATTCTAAAAATTCACAGACCAGGTGTCTGTGTTCATCATTAAATGGAGAAGCTCTTCCTTAATATTATCCAGATTACAAATAAATCACATTTAGATTCCTGCTCAAAGTTGGAGGAAAGAACACTTTTTGTCTTGGGGGTTTAACCCTGCTCTTCTGACTCCTGACACTGCCCACTGCCCACTGCGCCTGCCCCACCTCTGCCTCTCATCTCCCAGCTTCCGCTTCTTCCCAGTCCCCATTCCAACTCCATTTCTAAGTAGTTTTTTTTTTTTCTTTCTAAGGATATTAATCTACCTTTATAGTCTCCCCCTTAGTTCCCTAATTTCTTTCTCTCTTTTTTTTGCCACCCAGGCTGGAGTGCAGTGACACCATCACAGCTCACTGCAGCCTCGAACTCCTGGGCTCAAGCAATCCTCCCACCTGGCCTCCCAAAGCGCTGCGATTATAGGCATGAACCACCGCGCCTAGCCCCCTAATTTCTTTAAAGCAAAACTACGAAAGGAAATGTGGCTATCCAAAAACTTTAAGAGAATAGCTTTAGCAGCTGTTAAAAGACTACAGCTTGGACATATATCGCAGAATTATTATTACTTTGAATGAACCCAATTTAGTCTCACTACTAACACCCAAACGAAATGTCATCAAGAACAGCAGAGTATGTGTACGTGAGGGCTGTTCGCAGGGGACTCCTTACCTTGGCATTCAACTCGTCCACTATGAAGTGACAGAGGGCTGCTTTGAAGAAGTAATCCTTTGCACTGTACTTCAACAAAGGATTATCCATTGTGTTTGCCCCAACCTAGGCACAGAAAACAGTTAAATTTAAAAGGTTTACCTTCTTATATTAGGTAAAATAATTCTCATCTGTTGCCCTTTAGAAAATACTTATGTATCTTATGTTAGTTTAGCTGTGAAATACATTCTTTTAATCCAACACCATACAGTAGAAAATCTTACTAGACAAGAATATTAAATACACAAAGTGCTAACCTGTTGAAAACAACTTGGAAGACTTCTGCCTCCAGAAAGATGGAAGAGACATCCTTTCCCCCATTCCTCCCACTAAGCACAACTAAGAGCACAGGTCATTTTATATAAAACAAATGTCTATGAGTGGTGGACAAAAGAGGGCAGACCTGCTAGGGACTTTAAGGCCCAAGGCAAAACATGATGGTAGGCTCCCTGGTTTTCTTTTTTCTTCCTATATCTATAGCATGGAAGTAAAGAACCAGCAACCCAGAAATGCCAGTAGGTGGAGACCAAAAAAGAGAACAGACAGAAGCCTGCTCTCTCTAGCCAGAGGACTAGGAAAGGGGCAGCCTAGCAAGAGAGAAAACATTTAAACAGTACCTCTCTACTGCAGTCAAATACAACAGAAAAATGACCCGCCCCCATATCATCAAGGCTGAGAAGGGAGCCATGGTGCCCATTCTTGCAGGACTTTAAGGAGGAGTCCAGCACTCCGGCCAAGGTGGCCTCAGGGAGGGCCAAACAGGGAGCTGAGGCTTTATTCTGCCCTCCACCCTGCCACTGAGGCAGTACAGACCACACTGGGAGTCTGGATTCTACCTGCACCCAGCAGGAACAAGGTGCCCCTCCATCTCCCAGCTGGGAGGTGTCAGAAGTGGTCTAGCGGAGGGTGAAGACTTTCACCATCACCAAACGAAAACAAGAACAACCCCTGTATGGTGCTGGTGGACACGAGGTAGGGAGCAGGGATGCCTGCCTCTGCCCAGGGGTAAAACCAGGCCCCTCAGATGTCAGTGGAGGCCTAATGGGGAGTTTGAACTTCCACCTCTATCTGGCAGTAATGGAGCAACACCTCAGCTTTCCTCAGGCAGATGAGTGTCAAAGAAGGCCAGCCAGAAGAAAAGGTTTAAATGAGATCCAGGGTCTCATAACCTAATGTGAAAATGCCTTGTTTTCAATCAAAAAGCATGTGTAATAGCAAAAACACAGGAAGATCTCAAGTTGAATAAAAAAGACAATAGGTGACAATTCCCAGATGACAGAAATGTTAGAATTATCTAACAAAGATTTTAAAGGAGCCCTGGTAAAAATGCTTCAACAAGCAATTAGGAAAACACTTGAAACTAATGAGAAAACAGAAAGCATTAACAAAGAAAAAGTCACTGTGAAAAAAACCAAAAGATATAAAGAAAAATGAAATGAAAAATTTAGAGTTGAGAAACATGACAACATGCATCAAAAGTAGGTGGGTCCACAGCAGAAAGATGGGGCAGAAGAAAGAATCAGTGAACTGGATGACAGAACAATGGAAATTACTCAGTCTGAACAACAGAGAGAAGACTAACTTAAAAATAAACACAGCATTATGGACTTATGGGACTACAAAACAAGGTCTAACTTTTGTGTCATCTGAGTTCTAGAAGGGGAGGAGAAAGAGAAAGGGGAGAAAGGGGCTAAAAAAGCACCTGAAGAACTAATTGCTAAAGAATTCTCAAATTTGGCAAGAAACATAAATCTACGGATTCTAAAGTTTAGTGAAACCCAAACAGAATAAAATCAAATATATTCATATAAGACACGTTATAATTAAACTTCTAAAAACTGAAGACAAAGAAAAAAATTATGAAAGTGGACAGAGAACAATACCTTACCTACAGGGGAAAAACAATTTGAATGACAACAAACTTCTCATCAAAATTTATGGAGGCCATAAGTTGCACTTTTTTTTTAAATTAAAGGAAAATAACTATCAACTTAGAATTGTACACCCAGGGAAGATACGCTTTAGGAATGAAGGGGATATCAAGACATTTCCAGATGAAAGAAAATTAACAGAATGTGCTGCCAGCAGACCTACCTTAAAAAAATGGCACAATGATGTTCTCTGAGTAGAAAGGAAATAATAAAAGAATGAATCTTGGAAGATCAGGAAGAAAGAAAGAACAGGGTAAGCAAAAATATGGGTAAATGCAATGGACTTTCCTTCTCTTCTTAAGTTTTTAAAATTATGTTTGATGGTTGAAGCAAAACTTCTGATAATGTAGTTCTAAATGTATGTAGAGGAAATATTTAAGACAATTATATATTGAATGGGGAAAGTAAAGTGAGGTAGGATTTCTGCATTTCACCAGAACTGATAAAATGATGATACCATTAGTTTGTGACAACTTATGTAAATGTCAAGTAATACCTAGAGCAAGCACTAAAAAGTCCATTCAAAGAGCTATACAGCTGACCATCAAACACCATGGGTTTGAACTGTGCAGGCCCACTTATACGTGGATTTTTTTTCAACTAAATGAAGATTAAAAATAATGTATTTGAAGGAATGAGAAATCCAAGTAAACAGAGGGCAAATATACAATTTTTCATGTATACAGGTTCCACAGGGCTGATCATGGGACTTCAGTATGTTTGGATTTTGGTATATGAAGGAGGTCCTGGAACTAGTCCTCCACAGATACTGAGAAACAACTGTAGTCAAAAAACAGTACAGAAAACCAAGTAACCCCAAAAAATTCTGGAAAAAGAAAACAGAAATAAAAAGCAAAGCAAAAATAGAAAAAAATAAAATGGTAGAATTAAGCCCTAATATATCAATAATTACATTAAATGGTAATGACCTAAATATACCAATTTGAAAGGATTGGCAAAGAGGATTAAAAAACAGGACCCAACTATAAGAAACT